GACGACAGCTCCCGACGAGATAGCTTCAGAGGGTTTCTCTTACCCAGGGACCAGCTTTATGCTCGCAAGTGAACTATAATATCTCTCACACAAAGCTACATGAAATGAGAACCCCGGAATTATCAAACTCTGGGCTACGATCTCTTCCAAACATTCTTGCTACCGATTTCCAACCAACACTCTTCCACTACTACACGGCAAGGAACCTTGGTTGAATGAAGACATTTAAGGTAAGATATTAAGACTATTCGCATCGATAAGTCATCTAATACGTTGCGATAAGTGATTATTATATCTCTTTGAAATTATCGTAACTGAGGCGCATATTTGGAGATTTCGAATCAACTTCCGCAGTTATATCTCAATCACGTATATGTGGAAGGGTATTCCTCTGAACTATTACAATGTTCGAGGTTGCGACAAGTGTATCAAGTCGTGAGGATACAGGCTGGAAAAGATCGATTTATATGGTGTACGATTCTTTCAAGAAGCTCAATTCAAGCAACTGTCGACCTCGTCCATACACGGTACAGCTTTCGTGTCCTGGTCTGAAATGTATTACAACCTCTTCACAATCTCGACCCGGGAGACTTTGGCCGTAGTACTCTTGTCCTACAATCATGTGACAAGAGAAATAGCGCCAAGAGTTCCTCTATTTTCTTGGATAATACAACCACTCTTCCGAGGAGTGTTCCTTACAATACATCTCAAGGCTATCTTCTGTGAACCGTACCTTTGTCCGTATCCAAGATAGTGAACGAGGAATTCTTAAACAAGGATCGATGCGTGCGACTGGGAAATACCGATAAATGCGCAGAGCTGGACCCGTTCAATCTTCTATTCTTTGCGGCCAGGCTCACCCGCGACTTCCATATTCAGTTATGACATCCAATACACGAGATTGGTCTTCACAAGCACGTCTCTTATACAAGGGAACGCCAGAACCCTAGTCAATATCCATTGACTTTCCATAACGCACCTCGGCATGACCCTCTCGAGTGGCCACAGAGATCTACGCCCGGGAATTACCATACAAAGGAGTCAGCTAGAGTACATCGTGACTCCTCCATTTGGTTTCCTTCCGTAGAGAAACTGCCCAGAGAGTATTCGACGACAGAGAACAGCCCCTGAAGACACCACGATGAGTAGCCTAGCCGCACAAACAGCTCACGGTAGTGCATATTCGCAAGATATTGGGAGACAAGTGCACGGAAGAGTACGTGGTCGTCTTGGAATACTCTGAATTGGCCTGATAGTCATGGTTTTCGAAGACCCTCAACGCTATCAGCGATCAATACTACCTGCCTACAGGTATAGTTATTCTCAATATCTCCCCTAAAATTGCTGACATCGGTTCAGATAGTGATGAGTGGAGTAGGCTGTAAGTTATCTTATCGTTGACTGGCTACTGAGTTCTAGCTGACATTCAATTGGATGAAGCAACAAGCAACATGCCGCAGTGACCCTAGCTTTAGATGACTTATACCCAGCAAGGGACATCGTTCAAGCTGTGTTGCAACCCGTGTTGCAACCTGAGGAAGGGATTAGTAAGACGAT